GGGGCACCCCAGACCCGGTGCCCACCTGGGTGGCCCTTGTGGGACATCCATCTCCCCACATCCCCCGTGCCACCACTCCCATGGCCCCTGTGTCCCTCCGCCGCCCCCGGTGCCACCCTTTGACCCCCACCCCCGTCCTGCCCCCCCGCCTCCCCCCCCCCCCCCCCCTGCCCCCCCCCCCCCCCCCCCCTGAATTTCACCTCCCTGAACCCCCTGAAAGAGAGGAGCCAACCGGGACGGCAGCAGAGCAGCCCCGAAAGCAGCCCCAGGAGCCAAAACATGGCCCCAAAATCAACCCAGACAGCCTCAAAATGGAGTCAAGTAGCCCAAAATTGACCCAAATAGCCTAAAAAATGACCCAAGTACCCTAAAAGTTACCCAAATACCCTAAAAATTCACCCAAATGATCCCCAAATTGACCCAAATAGCCCCAGAAATGGCCCAAATAGCCCCGATTGACCCAAATAGCCCCAAAAATGGCGTAGATAGCCCCCTGATTGACCCAAATTGACCCAAAAATGGCCCAAATAGCCCCCTAAATTGACCCAAAAATGGCCTGAATAGCCCCCGATTGACCCAAATTGACCCAAATAGCCTGAGATTTGATCCAAATTGAACCAAATAGCCCCCAAATGGAGTCAAATAAACCAAAATTGACCCAAGTAGCCTAAAAATTGTCCCAAATGGCCCCAAAATGGCCAAAATAGCCTGAGAATTGACCCTAATAGCCCAAAATTGACCTGAATAGCCCGAAAATGGCCTGAATAGCCCAAAAATTGACCCAAATAGCTCCAAAATGACCCGAATAGCCCAAAAATGGCCTGAATAGACCAAAACTGACCCGAATAGCCCCAAAATTGACCCAAATAGCCCCAAATCCGACCCAAATAGCCCCAAAAATGGCCTGAACAGCCCCAAAACTGACCCAAATAGCCCCAAAAATGGCCTGAATAGCCCCAAAATTGACCCAAATAGCCCTAAAAATGGCCCAAATTGACCCAAAATTGACCGGAATAGCCCCAAAATTGACCCCAAAATGGCCCAAATAACCCCCAAAATGGCCCAAATTGACCCAGATAGCCCCCAAATTGACCCAAAAATGGCCCAAATAGCCCCAAAATTAACCAAATCTCCTCAAAATTGCCCCAAATCCCCCACCCCCCCCCCCCGCTTGGCTCCCACCCGGTGCTCCCCCCC